TAATTGCTTGCTCTTCAAGGGTAAAAAAAAAAAAGGGCCATGGTTGATTACTATTTAATACTGCTGAATTTCTGCATTGAAGAAAAAAACTAGCACTTGAGATATAATTGAAAAAGTCCCTTCTGAAATGTAAGTTTAAGAATTTAACTACTCAACTAACCACTGAAATACTTAGTACTACGATACGAAACAGTTAACAGAAAATTTCAAGATTATTTATCGTATCTACATTACTGTCCTTCACACAAACAATTCTGCTTCAAGAATTGTCTGACCTGTAATTTCCCCTCAGAATAAAAAAAAAAAAAAGAAAAAGAAATTTTAACCACAAGAACGGGTGTAAAACATTGTCATACTGCGCTCAGCCCCGGAGCTGCCCCGCGGGGCTGTGCTGGTGTGGGGGTGCTGCCGGGCAGAATGGAAGGGGGGGAGGCTGGGTCCCCCCCTTGGGGGGGCTCAGGACGGGGTGGTGGGGCTGTGCCCTCGATATAATGCAGGATCTGGTGGGCGCCAAGCAGAGAGCGAGGTGTGGGGGGGTTGATTGTGCCCCTTGCTGTGGGCACAGCCCCGATGCTCATGGCAAGGTGGGACCTGGCTCATTCCCAGCGAGTTTCTGGCCATCCTGGGTCTGGGCAGAGCTTTCAACCCCGGCCTGAGCACGGGCAAGAGACTTGATGAACTAAAGGAGCATCGATTTTATCTCCTTTTTTATCTTAAACCAAAAAAAAAACCAACCAACCAAAACCCCAAACCACAGGATGCACAGCTCAGCGCAGCATCCTCAGATCCTGATCCGCTTTTCCAGACCTGTGGAGCTGCTCCTGGTGCAGATCCCTTTTCCCAACTATCTCCTCTTTTCCACTTGCCAAACGCAAGCACACGGTAGCCCCATCTCTGCTTGGTGCCCAGGATGGGGAGGGGGGGACTCGCTCCTCTTCAGCATCACCCACGTTTTGTACAGGGGGTGCTCGGGGAGGGGGCCGTGCCCCCCAAAGCCATCTCCGGTGTCACCGGGCACGTGTGGCACTTCCCAGGAAGCAGCTGGGAGCTCCCAGTTGCTCCCAGGAGCTGGGAATTTGCCTGTGAATCTGCATTATATCGGCAGAGGGTGAGGGGGGGGCGCTCCCTCAGTCTCCGCTGCCCCCCCCCAGGGTGTCTTGGGGGGGGTTTTGGAGGTGCTGGTCCCCCTCCCAGCTGCCCCTCACACCAGCACCCCCGCACCGCGTGCTCCCACATTTCAGAGCTGTGACCACGTCTACATCCCACGGCGTCGCATCCGCACCCTCGCCGCGGTCCCGGGAGAAGGGAAGAGGGGGGGTTGTGGTGGTGGTTGGGGGGGGGGGTAGGAAACACCCCCTTCGGTCCCCGGTGTCCTCACACGATCAACCAGCCGTGGGGCTGCTGCTGCCCCAAACCCCGTGCCCGCCGTGCCGGCATCGCTGGAGCATCTGGGCTGCCAGGTTTATCCTTCTCCATCTTCCGCTGCCATTATCCGAGAGGTGGGGTTGGACTTGGAGCCCGGATGTGGCCGATCCCGGTGCTGGTGTAGGGATGGGGGGGATTTTGGCCGAGGGTCTGGAATCACCACCGGCGAGCAGCAGGAGTGATTTGGGCACCGTGCAGCTTGGCTTCGGCCACCTCCTCGTTCCCTCCGTGCCAGCACCCCTTTTTGGGGTCCCCAGGCTGTTCTGGGGGCACATCCCGGAGCGGGGCTGGGCAAACCCACGCTGGTTGATCGTCCTTGGCTCCTGGTGGGGCTCCGGCGGTGCCGGGCACCGGGGTCCCCTTGGCCGTGCTCCCCCGGCACCGCAGGCTTTTGTTTCTTCGTGTCATGTTCCTCTTTTTTGATTCCTTTCACCTTCTCCCCAGCTCTCCCGCCCAGTAGCATATCATCGGCATCGGTAACCAGCTCTGTGGCATCTGAACTCCATGGAGCCGTGATGGAACCTGATATATTGTTAAATAAAAGGGTTTTTTTCCTATGGAAACCCGGCTGTCTCCTGTGTGCTTTTTTGCTGCCCCAGGTTGTCTTTTGAAACTGAAGCCTGGTCTGAAGAGATCTGGGACGAGTTAGGGCCCTCGGTTCATCGCCAGCCTTTCTTGCTGGTGTTGGAGGAACCTGTTGGCTTCGTTCTGGTCAGCATTAACAATTTGGGGATTTTTGACTTAATACTCGCAGCATCTCATGTGGCCCCTGTGACTCGATGGACTTAGGGCTGGATACGGTTGGATACTTGATGGATACAGTTGGACTCGATGGTCTTAAAGGTCTTTTCCAACCTAAAGGATTCTATGACTCTATGGCTGTCCTTGCCACCGTGCTGGCATGGCCACTGGGCTCATGGTGTGTCTAGTAGCCCCTGGGCTTGCGGTGTGTCTGGTAGCCCCCTGGGCTCATGGTGTGTCTGGTAGCCCCTGGGCTTGTGGTGTGTCTGGGAGCCCCCTGGGCTCATGGTGTGTCTGGTAGCCCCCGTCCCCTGGAGCGGGTAGACCCTCGTGGGATCCATGTGTGGATGATGCAGGACAGTGTTGTTCATCCCATCTAGTGACTGAGAATTACTTACTCATTCCTCAATGTAACTTCATTTGATAAGTTATTAAAAAGTCATTTTAGGAAATGGGTTGGTAATAAATCCTTAACAGATGGTGCTTTAGCAGGTTCCAGAATGGGCTCCACCAGAGTCCTTGCTCTTGTTCTTGATACCCAGCTTTCTTAGGGCACTTCGTGTTGCTATAAAGTACCACCCAACACCATCAACCGTGGATGAGAAGCAGAGTGTGGATGGAAAACACTCGGTGGGTCTGTTTGGCTTCGTTGCTCCACTCCTTACTCATTCCTCAATGTAACTTCATTTGATAAGTTATTAAAAAGTCATTTTAGGAAATGGGTTGGTAATAAATCCTTAACAGATGGTGCTTTAGCAGGTTCCAGAATGGGCTCCACCAGAGTCCTTGCTCTTGTTCTTGATACCCAGCTTTCTTAGGGCACTTCGTGTTGCTATAAAGTACCACCCAACACCATCAACCGTGGATGAGAAGCAGAGTGTGGATGGAAAACACTCGGTGGGTCTGTTTGGCTTCGTTGCTCCACTCTGGAGCCTGTATTTCTGATTTTGCTGGGCTTTGGACATGGCTGCAGGTCCCAGACGGTTCCCCTGCCCTCTCTGCCTGCTCCCCTGGAGAGTGCAGCCCCTTGGCTCCGGCTGATGCCTTGTCCCAGGGTTGTCTCTCCCGGGGGCAGCGCTTGGGCAGCACGGGATATGGGGTGGCATGGAGAGAGCTCAGGGAATCTGGGACATCTGAAGAAGAAAGGTGTTGGAGAAGGGCACTGCTGGAGCGGTTACATGTCCTCCTCATTGCTGGTGTGGATCTGGGATGTAGAATGTGGGATACGGGATGCAGGAGATGGGATGCCAGATGCTGGATGGGGGATGCAGGACAGGGGAGGTGGGATTCGAGCTGGGGACAGAGCAGAAAGATGGAGAAGTGGTTGTTTCCCAACCAGGCTGGGCTCAAGGTGATGCAGGAGTGTGAGTCCTGGCCACTGAGGTCCTGGGCAGAGACTGCAGCCTCCAGGTGTCCTCTCCCTGCAGATCCCAAAGGACCATCGTGGTGGTGTGGAGGCTGGGGCACCACAGCCTCACCAGCCTCCAGCCCAGAGCACCAGGAAGACTCTTGGTGACCTGCTGGTAGGAATAAGCCTCCTCCACAAACAGGCATAGGGGAAACCAGGATACACCAGGGCCCCCAGAGGAGGGGAGCAAGGCCAGCTTCCCTCTAGCTTGTCCAGCAGTTGCTCTAGGAGAGGACACAGGAGTCCAAGCTCTGCCTGCCTGGTGTAAACCACATCTACATCCATCCAGGTTGTCCCATCAGGGCTTGTGGGTGCTGGATTGCGTGGTTTCTGCAGGGCTGCATTGAAGGGATGGGTCGGTTTATGGGGTCTCGGAGGAAAAAGGAAGCTGAGGCACCAAGAGAGGGGTGGAGGATGAACTTCTTCTTGGCCAGGGTGTGAGGGGTGAGAAACGAGGTGGGCCGAGGAGATCAAACGTGGCAAGAGAGTGTTTCAGAGGTGCTTGGGGCGCATCCCAAGCCGCGGGGACCATGCCAAGACGTCTGCAGGAGGGAGCAGGGGCTGCTTGGGATCGGGGTCAGGGTGGGGGGAGTGGGCCTTTGGGTGTGACAGGCGTGCTTATATGTGGTTTGCTGGTTTGAAAAATCCTTCTTCTCTGCGCGCTTTGATCCCGGGGTGAATTAAATAATGCTTTTAATTTTAAACAGCTTTGCTGGTCCCCGATGCCCAAAGGGTAAAACTGTAAGCGCCAAACTTGCTCGGACCTGCCAGAGAAGGAGAAAAGCACTTTAACAGGTTCCTGTAACCCAGCACCCGGACGGGGAGAGGGAGCACGGTGGGTTCCTCCCACCTCTGGGGCCAGGGACCCAACTCGGGGACAACCACAGCAGGACCTGGAGGAACAGACCCTGTCCGACCAGTGGGATCTCCCCCAGTGTCCCTACTGGTGTGTGCCCGAGGGGGCTGCAAGGGGGATCCCATGGGACGTGGGTACGATGGAGCTGCATCATCCCCATTGCATGGGATTTGGGGGAGCTGCCGCGCTCCCCTCCTGCTCGCACCCCGACACAAGGACCTCCCAAAGCACCCGGGCTGGGAAGGGCTTTCCTTGGGAGCATCCTCATCCCTGGCTGCGTTGGGGAGAGGACATCAAGCCCTGGGTGCCAGCACCCACGAGAAGATGGGAGCTGAGGGCACGGAAGCATGGCACAGCCCTGATCCCAAGCAAGAGGGATCACCAGGATCTCGCTCGGGAGCCTCCAGATCTGGAAAGTTCATTAAAGCTGTGAGGCTGCTGATGTTTTTGGACGCCCATCAGGACTGGAGAAGTTATTTTAATTATTTAACATAAAGGAGCTTTCTGTCAAGTTTATTAACTTGCCCTTGGCCAGATCCCACTCGGGTCTGAAGCAGCTGCCAGGTCAGCAGAGCAGGAGTGTTTGCGAGGGCTGGATGCTGGGGTGCACCACGGCCCCGGAGCAGGATCCAGCCCATGGGTGACATGGCCAGGGTGACACCCCACACGTGCTCGCTCCGCTCCGGGGAAGGGGCAGCCCATATGGAGAGCACCTGGTTCACCTGGTTAAATGATGGGAAGCTCAAAACGGGCTGGGTGGTGGGTGATCAGGGAATAACAGCTCTTCCAGCTCTGGTTTGAGAGGAGGTGGGACTGGAGATGTGGGGCTGAGCCCTGGCGTGGGGGGCGCAGAGTGGGGGCACCCTGGGCAGGCACAGACCGTGCAGCCCCCGGGGATGCCCAGGGCTCTGTCTGAGGCTGCCAGAGGTGCTGCCAGATGTGGGGTGGATGCACGCCTGGGGTGGATGGGGCTGTGGCGTCACCTCCCTCTCGTGCTGTGGGACACCCCACAGCATCCCTGTGTTTCAGGGGAGCAGGGGAGATCAGAGCAAAGGCTTCCCGGGCCACCTCTGGCCTCCGTGGCCACAGACTCGCATACCAGCGGGTCCATGTAACCTGGCAGCAGCCTCCCCGAATGGAAAGCAGACCGCAGAGAGAGACTTGATGCTTTTCAGATGTTTTTGGTGTATTCTGATCTCTCCGTTTATGTAGGCGCCTCCCGAGGATCGCCCGGTTTGTCCCGGCACGCCGGGGGGTGCAAGCAGGGGAGGCAGCAATGCTGGGGTTGGAGACCCAGCCTGCAGCAGTGGCTCCATGCACGGGTGGCAGTGATGCTCTGCAGGGTGCTCTGAGGGCTGCACCCATCCTCCACACCACTCCTCACCCTTCTGTTTCCACCACCACCGAGGCATTGCCTCATCACTCTCTACAACTTCGTGAAAGGACACTGTAGAGAGGTTGGTGCTGGTCTCTTCTCGCAGGTAATTAGTGACAGAACGAGAGGGAACGGCTTCAAGCTCCAACAGGGTAGGTTTAGATGGAACATTAGGAAAGAATTTTTCACTGAAAGAGTG